TATATATATATATATATATATATATATATTGTATTGAATGCGTTGCATGCTGTATTCTCAACTGCATAGGATAAAAAACGGCTAAGAGCAGTATAAATACATCTTAAGAAATTCCCTCTTCGTGCTTTGCTTCTCTCCCTCAGCAGCAGCAGCAGCAGCAGCAGCAGCAGCAGCAGGAGCAGCAGCAGCAGCAGGAGACAGAAGCCCCCCCCGTATTACGAATGGTTACAAGAGCTAGGGCTTATCTAAATGTATATTGTGTTAGTGGGTATTTCATGTGTCTCCTTTTTCTGTTTTTTTTCTCTCTGCCTGCATTCTCAGCTGCTTTTTCTTCTGTCTCCTCCATCGTATGAGCGAGATACGCAGAGATTTCTTTGGGTCAGACAGGCGGGCCTCTCTCACCTGCTGAAGCAAAGCATCTGTTAGCTGTGGGGGCCCCCCGTACCCCCCCTGGGCGTTGGGGGCCCCCTCCCCTGGTGTCTGTGCAGAGCCCCTCTCACTGGGTACAGAGGCAGGGGCCCCCAGGGGCCCCTCACCTTCTAGCAACACGCGGAGAGCTGGCTCGCAACCAACACCCCCCTGGCTGTGTAGATACACCTCAGGAGGGTCCAAGGTAGAGTTTGCCTCTTGCTGTAATGCATGCGCAACAGCTTGGCTGCAGAGAGACAGAGAGACAGAGAGAGACAGAGAGACAGAGAGAGAGAGAGAACAAGTGGGGGGATGTATTTGTGTTTATTTTTGTTATGTTTTGTAAGAGAGAGATAAAGGAAACAGTCAAGGAGACACATGAGGAGACAGCACAAGCTCACCTAACATAAGCCCGAAGCTCTCTCACCCTCTTAAGGGGCAATACATCGTAGTAAGGAATATGAGCAACACGAAAGCCTGCAGCAGCAGCAGCAGCAGCAGCAGCAGCAGCAGCGGCAGCAGCAGCAGCAGCAGCAGCAGCAGCAGCAGCAGCAGGAGACAAAGGATAAGAGAGATGTATAGTAAGCGGCAGCAGCTATGTTTACCCCCCACCCCTGTTGCCGTCCTCTTCTCTGTTTTTGTTTGTTTATGCTTGCTTGTCTCCGTCTGTCTCTCTCTGGCTGTCTCTCTATAGCAGCAAGCTGCGAGGGGCCCTGGTAGCTCTATGGAGAGCTCTGCTGCAGCAGAGCTGGTGACTGCAGTAGCAGCAGCAGCACAGCAGCAGCGCAGCAGCAGCACAGCAGCAGCACAGCAGCAGCAAAGCAGCAGCACAGCAGCAGCAAAGCAGCAGCACAGCAGCAGCACAGCAGCAGCACAGCAGCAGCAAGCGAAGCAGCACGAGAGCAAACAACGCACCTAACCGCGTCAGTATTCTGTGTTTTAGTTTGGAGGAAGAGTTCCTGCGGTGTACATACACATACACCACGCAGACAGGCAATCTGTCTGTCTCTTTCTGTCTCTTTCTGTCTCCTTCTGTCTCTTTCTGCTGGCTCTTTATCTATCTATCTGTCTCTCTCTTTCTCTGTCTGCCTCTGTCTGTATTTTTATGTTTCTCTCTCTGTCTCTCTTTTTTTTTTCTCTTTCTCTCTTTCTCCTCACCAGTGCAGGGACTCTCTGTAGAAGTGCTGCGGGCCGTCCACCTCCACTACCACTGCCTTCGCCCTGAGCTCCTCAGCAGCTGAAACACAGCAGCAGCAGCAAACCGCAGCAGCAGCAGCAGCAGCAACGGCAGCAGCAAAGGCAGCAACAGCAGCAGCAGCAGCATCAACGGCAGCAACAGCAGCAGCAGCAGCAGCAGCAACAGCAGCAACAACAGCAGCAGATGATTACCCCCACCCCACCGCCAGAAACACAAATCTTCATATTGAAGCAAAGGGCTACACAGCACACCCCAGCAGCAGCAGCAGCAGCCACAGTAGCAGCAGCAACAGCAGCTGCTGTTGCTGCTGCTGCATCAGCACCTGCTACGGGTCATCACCGATACCACAGCAGGCCCTGAAAGCCCCACATGCATGCATGCATGCATGCATGCATGCATGCATGCAGCAGCAGCGTTGAGGCTGCGGAGACATACCTGAGGGAGACCAGAGACCATCGTCGCCTACTAGCGACGCCTTGGGGTCCAGCTGCCGCTGCTGCTGCTGCGCATGCAGCTCCTCTCCTGTAAGGGGCTGAGCAAAGTCTACAGTGTAGGGCCCCACAGAGACCTGCGGGGAGACAAAAGGAGACAGGAGACAGCAGAGCATGCAGGCAAGGAGACAGCACAAAAAGGAGACAGGCAACATAGCGAGAGAGACAAAACAACAAAGACAAAGTTTATAGACATTCAGCAGCAGCAGTGTGTTGCTGTGTCTTCGCGAGCTGCAGCAAAACGCCGTTGCTGCAGCTGTTATCTGCTGCTGTTGCTGCTGCTTTCACCTGCTGCTGTTGCTGCTACTCTTATCTGCCGCTCTTGCTGCAGCAGCAGCAGCAACTGCTGCTGCTGCTGCTGGGGTTGTTGTGTTGCTGCTGCGGTGATGAGCTTGCCTCTGAGTAGTAGTGACACTGCAGGAATGTTGCTGCTGCAGCAACAGCCTCCTGCAGCGCAGAGGTGGAGGGGGCCTCTGGCTCTGTCTTTGTTAGCTGCGCGCGCTGCAGCACATCTCTTGCTGCTGCGCTGAGAGACTGGGCCCTGAAGGGCAAGTGCCCAGCCCTGCATGCAGCATGCACACAGCAGCAGCAGCAGCAGGAGAAAATAAAACATATGCTGCTGCTGCAGCAACAGATGCAGCAGCAGCACAAGCAGCTTACACAAGGGATGCTGTCTCCTGCCCAGGGTACAGCTCGCCATACCAACCCAGTATACAATACAATACATGATATACAATACAT